AGGACCTTTTCGGTTGTGTGACTTAGACGACTAGGTAGTGAACGAAGCTCCGAAGAGTCTTCCTTTGAGAACGACCCGAGTCGGGTAGCTCGGTTACCACATGCCCAAAAATACTACAAACACTAATTTATTATCTAATTGTATGGAAATCTGTTATGATTTTATGATATGTACTACAAATTGTGCACCCGTATTCAGGAGCTACTTAACGGGCAAACTCTATGGAAATGACTCATATAGTGCTTCCGTCCCGTGCATACAGTATGTATTTTTATTATAGATACTAGAAAATTGTGCACCCCGTGCATCACATGGGCTTTGTACTAATAAATAACCTTAAAATTGTGCACCCCGTACATGGCACGAGCTGTACTAGTTATATATTATACATATAAAATAAATAAAAAATATGTATTAATTAAACCGGTTGATCACTGGTCGAAACTATTTGAAACATTAGCCTCACCTAAACGGTTCGATTTTCAGAACCATCTAGAGTTGAGTAGAGAAGCGCTGGAGAAGCTCTCAGGAGTAACCCACGCATTAGGGATGTCAATAAAACCCGTAGGGTCGGGTTACCTGCATTTTTGGGTCGGGTAAACCCGAGATGAATGGGTTTCGGGTCGGGTTAGGGTAGAATTATGCTACCCGAACCCCGGGTCGGGTCGGGTGCAGGTACAATAGGCAAACCCGTTACCCGACCCGATTACCCTACCCGGTTACCCGCAACCATTGAATTATGTATATATATACATACATACATACATACATATATATATAGGGAAAAATCTTTTTCACCCCATAACAAAGACACATTAAGTTTTTCACACCGCCCAATAAAAAGCTAAGTTTTTCACCCCAGAAAGTGCGAAGGTTATGCGAAAACTGCAGCATATTCATCGCATAACTGTCCATATGCGAAGATTATGCGAAAAACTGTCGCATAACTGTCGCATATCAATTGCATAACTGCCGCATATTCATCGCACAATGCCTTCGCACAATTATGCAATTGATATGCGACAGTTTTTCGCTTAACTGTCGCATAATTGTCGCATATCAATTGCATAACTGTCGCATATATATCACACAATGCCTTTGCACAATTATGCAATTGATATGCGACAGTTATGCGACAGTTTTTCGCATATCATTCGCATATGGACAATTATGCGATGAATATGCGACAGTTTTCGCATAACCTTCGCACTTTCTGGGGTGAAAAACTTAGCTTTTTATTGGGCGGTGTGAAAAACTTATCAAGACTTCAAAACGGGGTGAAAATAGATATTTTCTCTATATATATATATGTTTATAACTTATAATAAATATAAAAGTAGTCACGTGTTATTTTTAAAAATTAGATTACCTATTATAATTTTGATCAATGGTTAAATTTATTTTATTTTTTATAATTTTATTATCATTTGTTGTTAATTGTACAATAAAAAAATTAAATACTTAATTTTAAATGTTATAATATTAAATAGACTATAAAAGATAAATAATCATATCTCATTATTTATTCCAAAAATAATACAATTTTTTTATAGTTCTTTTATTGTCGAACTTAGTTAATAAATTATTTCTTACATTATAATTAATTGTGAAATTATTTTATTTTATTTCATATGAAATGAGATGGGTCGGTCAAAACCTAAATTTAAGACTCGGGTTACCCGTTTACCCGACGAAAACCCACTAACCCGCCAGGTAAAACCCAACCCGATTCCGAATATCACTAACCGGGTAATGGATCAGATTTGGGTAGGGTAAATTACATGCGGGTCGGGTTCGGGTTTGCCAAAACCCGTACCCAACCCGACCCATTTACATCCCTACCACGCATCCTACTCTTCTCCTCTCCTGCTAATCGGCCCCACTGGCAATCCCGCTGCTCCTCTCTTGAGAATCTACCTTCGCCGCTCGCTCCTCTCCTCATATTGACCTCCTTCGCCATCACCCATTGCTGCTCCTTTCCTCGAGTGCTGAATTAGATTTTCATATCTTAACATTCAGGTACTGAATTAGGGCTGAGTTAGGGTTTCTTGTCTTAACATTCAGGTACTGAAGGGCTGGGTATACCAGATGTATGCAGATCAAAATCTCAACTGAGAAATAATCAGCAGTCGTGCGAGTACCCAGCCGCTAGCCCTATCCTTGTCAAGCAAAAAAACTCGTTTCGGTGTTGTAGCTAGCTAATTCCGCCGTAACCGGAAAGCAGCCGGAGAAGAGCAGGGGTTGCCCTCAAACCTCAGAAAAGCAGGTTTGCATTTATGCTTTCGTAGCTATTTTGGCCAATGAATTTTAAAATTTTTACTTTAATAGTGAATGCTTGATTTGGTTGTTCAAAATTTGGACATTTTAATTGTGAAACTTTCATTTTAGAACAAACAAATGTCATCAGCTAAACAAGTCTATTTGATAGTGAAATTGCTTTCCACCATTAATCCATTAATCCAAATTCTGCTGCCATTTCAACTGAGTCTGTCCTGACCTATACGCCAAGATTGATTGAGGTAAAATCGAGTTCCATTTCTCTGCCTCCCGTGCCCCGTTTATTGTTGCTCTGTGTTGCCACTTGCAAGTGTTTATAATGCTGTTCATGTTGTGGATTTGGATGACAACTATGGGTATTTGTGAAAAATCCTCTAGTGCACTTCACTTTGAACGGTCCTTTAGTCAAGATTGATAATGAAGTGCTGTAATAACTGTGAATTATTTTAGATTTTCCTCTGAGTATAATTTGAACCCTTTTCTGTGAAGCCTTACCTCATGGGTTGGTTTGAAATAAATTTCTGTCTGCCATTTTCTTTCGAAAAAATTTATAACAAGCCAATTCTCTGATCTGTGTACGACCCTTGGAGCCCCAAGTTTAGTATTACGGTTACATGGAACTGTTTTGTTTCTAGAGTCTACATATATTCTCTTGGATATGTACTGAATCTTGATACTTGATATTTTCCCCCGGATTTTATAATATTTATTCCCCTTATGCCAGCATGAACAAAGGAGGAGTGGGCCTCGGAGGTGGAGCCGGTGGCGGCAGTGGGCCAACCACCGCTGCGGCGGCGGCAGCGGCACAAAAACAGAAAACCCTTTTGCAGAGAGTGGACACAGACATTGGAAATCTTGTTGACAATTTTGGTTACATAGTCAATGTGACTCGGGTATGCTGAAAATGTTTTTTATTTAACGTTATTTGTGTTTTTAGATGCCGAGAGTTGTTCAAATATTGTATGCTTAGAACTGCATTCAGTTTAATGTTGTGTACAGCAAATGACGCTTCATTAGGAAATTCTTTACTTCAGAAATTTCATTTTGCTAAGCTTATGTAGCTATTGTCAGTTTCCCATCAGGAAAGCCAAAGGAAGTAAATGGGAAAAAATGAGCATACTGACTACAAATTGATATTATAATATAGCAGTAATCTTATACACTCAAACTCGGCGATACTTTCCGAGTTGATTGCTCCATAATTCTTGCTTGGAGATGTTAAAAGAGCCGAGTTATTGAACAAATAATATTTGATTCACCTTCCAACTATCCATTCTTGGATTGTTTGTTATTGTTTGAGTTTTGAACCTCATAGAGACAACCAGTGTGGTAATAAGAATATATAAGGTCAACATGACATTTCACGTGGGGCACCTCTTAAAATGCGAGCGTTCCCTTAGGGTAAAGTAAGAATGTGACACTGCGCATTGGTAGCTAATTTGGTGGATGGCTTTGTTTTTGCATTGCAACTTTGTGTCAATTAGTCGTAATTTTTTCACATTAATTTTTTCAAATTGTTTGTTGCTTTGAAGAGAATCTTAGGCTGAATTTATAATGGATTAAGTATTAGCAATGTCATCTATCTGCTGTCTATGTGCTCTATGTTATTCTCGTGCTTTGGTTCAATGTTGAATATGAATGAAAGATTTGAAGGAAACTGTAGTGCATCTTTTAGGTTAACGATCCACCAGTGCGGAACTCCCAAGAGTCTTTCATGATGGAAATGCGTGCGACTAGGATGGTGAGAGCTTTGTTGAATTCTCTATTTACATTCCTCCAATTTCTGTTTTAAGAAATATATATTCGGCAAGAAAGAAAGAAAGAAAATCCTTGGGTCTATTTTATTTTGTATTTAATCTGGTTGTGTGTTTTGGGTATTTGAACCCACAAATCAGGTTCAAGCTGCTGACTCGCTACTCAAATTGGTGTCGGAGTTGAAGCAGACTGCAATTTTCTCGGGATTTGCATCTCTGGATGACCATGTCGACCGGAGAACGCACGAGTTCAATAATTTGGCTGAAAGTACAAATGGGAAATTGTCGAGAATTGGGGAGGAGGTTGCAGCTAGCCTCAAGGAACTCGAATCTCATTACTACTCGTCTGCACTCAGGACAACCACCGTTAGTCCACACGAGGCTTCAGAGTAAAGGGTGGTTAGAATTGTAAGTTCTCATAGTAAAAAAATGTTTCTGGTGTGGTCCTGAATGAACTCAAGTAACAGAGTTTGTATGGTTGGAAAACTAATCTCGTCTGTAGTTGATGGGTGTGTGGATTGGGTGACAGCATATATACTTTACATTAGATTTGATTAAGGTACATGCACACTTTTCTTTTCATTTTATCTAATTTTGGAACTTTTATTTGATAATAACGTGTGATGAGCAAAATTCCTTCACGAACTGTTTCTCCTTTAACCTCGAACCAGTTTGATCTCCGGAAGTATCCTACAAAACATGCTGGGAGTGTTCCCAGCAGTAGATCTCCGATGATCAAGTGAGTTCTTGGAATATAAAAGAATACAAAGTGTAAGTATATTGTAAAGCTTAGAGAGTGTGACCCTTAAAATTTAGCTCAACTTTAACATAGTTGCAACCTCTTTCCCAATTCTCGACAATTTCCCATTTGTACTTTCAGCCAAATTATTGAACTCGTGGGTTGTCCGTTCGACATGGTCATCTAGATATGCAAATCTAGAGAAATTGCAGTATGCTAAGTAGGGGGTTCTTTTGCATACTTTTTTTGCTTATTTTGGTGTTTTTAGTGTGGCGAGTCGAGCCAATTTTTGTTCTTTTTTGTTTTTTTTGTTTTTTTTTTAGTTTTCGAGTCATGTTTGTGCATTTTAGGTTTTTCTTGTGTTGATGTTTTTGTAAGACCGAAAGGAAGAAAAACTTGTTTAGCAATGTATCTTCTGAAGCTACCATTTTCTCAGTCCAAATATGCGTGTAGATAGTTAATAGTTTACTTGTGCCGTCAAAGATGGGAAGAAAAGATTTGAAAAGATTGAGGTGAGATTTTAAGACATTTGGAGGAGTGTGCGTTGATTCGGAGCGTTTCAGACCACGTACAAAACCGGCAGAATAGCCGACCTAGACAGGAACGTTATAGACCACGTAAAAAACCGGCAGAATAGCCGACCTAGACAGGAATACCCGAGCCCGCGAAAATATTGGCCAAGCCCTTGAGTTTTGCCTTCATCCACGCTGCTATATTCTCCTAGATCGCGAGTTTCCACCTCTCACACACTAAGCAAGCAAACTAGCGACGCCAGCTAAAATAAATTGATCGTAAAAAAGATGCACTTTTGTGTAACTTTTAGAGCATCTCCAATGGTCTTTCCATTGTTTTATTTTCTTGCCACATGGCACAAAAAATCCTATGTGGCATGGAAAATGTCTAGAAGGCTTTCTACATGTAGAAGCCCTTCTAGACAACTTCTACTATATATTATAATATTTATTCAATTTATCTTTTTTTTTTCAACCAATTACAATTTTACACATCACAAATGATACAACAATTAACACTAACCATTGAAGACACAATTTTTTAATTTTCTTTCTCCATGTTATACAATACAATTTCCATATATGAATAAAAATTGAATTTGTATATGTGAAAGAAAATGTAATTATGTGGTGTGCCTAACCTATTATTATTATTATTTTTATTTTTTTTGAAGGTAGGTCACAATTTGTACATGCTCTAAAGCCCTTTTTTTTATAATGGAAATGTATATTACGGTTATTTTAGACTAAAATAAATGATTACAAATGATCATTCTAACTGTTAAAAGACCAAAAAATAAAATATCTACACCAGACAAGGAGAATTAAAATAAATAAACAACAAAAATGAAACAAAATCAAAATATAAACTACAAAATACAATAATATCTACCCCACTTCATGTCAGGGCTGATATTTTTTCTTAACAAAAAATTGAACCGACTCGCTTGTAACGGTAACCAATTATCGGTTACTGAAGTGCTATCAATTCGAAATCAGTACCGTCTCATAAGAGTTTGGTTAAATCGAATCGGTGCCGATAAGAATAAAAAGCAAGTCAAAATCACAATAGGTTTTTTTTTTTTT